TGTTATTTTGTGTAGGCTCCCTGTGTGCGTGCCGCTGCTTATCTTTAATACGTGTGCTTAGGACGGAGTTTATGTCATATATTGTGTAAAGTGTAACTGGATGCTTAAATATAATATTCTACTTTTTGTGTTTTGATTATCACTGTATAATTTCATTTTATGGTTGTTCTGTATGTGACTGAGTTCTACTTTATGAACTGTTCTTGTGTATGTTTTGATTTCATTGTGACTTGTTCAACATCCTAGGCTTCGCCAAAAAGGATTTATTGAATTTAAAGAATAAATGAAATTAAATGAAATTAAATTCTACAAACGGAACAGTATTATTGTTACAAAGTCCAATTGAACTATATTCAACATTTTATAACTGAGAAAGGTAACCAGTAAGGCTCATAGTTTGGATTGGGTTTTTATGAATGAATGTTTTTGTTCCTTTTCTTCCTTTGTAAATACTGAATATTAGTAATTTTCTGTTCATACCAACTGCATTCCCCCAGGTTTGAACAAAGATTTTATGGTTTAGCATGAAAGATTACAGACAAGAGTACTTTAGAACCTGCCTTGAGGAGAGTGTTTAAATCCAAACATTGTAGATGGAATATATATGGGGAAGGGTTAAATATTCATGGCTGTATAGAAGGCTGAAGTGTTGTACATTCTGAAAAAGAAAAATATATATCAATAAGTTGGAAAGAAACAAAGGATCATAGTGACTTGGAGAGGTTTCTGTACAGAAAGGATGGTGTTTCACAAGATATCACTCTCACATATACTAATAGACAGATTTCAAGGTGAGCAGTGGCAATTTAAACAAAGTTACAAGTTACATTAGTTTTAAGAATGTGTCTTGCAATGTAGATTTCTGCAAAATAGGTGGCTGGTGGAGGTAGGCAGATACCAAGCTACCAATTTTTTTATATGTTAAAATATAGCAACAAGTGCTGCTCTTTGCAAGTGCAGTTTACAGAAATGAAGTATGGGTTCATGTGGATGGTGGACTCAGAAAATTGATCGAGGATTTTCATATGGATGTCTTTTGGGCAGTGATGCCTTGGAAGAATGAGTTGAGGTGAAAAAATTAAATTGGAAATGAATTTTGATAATATTGTAACGTGTTTCGTTACTGAAGACGCCATTCGGATTGTTAATCGGTTTATTTAACAACCTNGCTCTGCTTTTTGCCCTCAGAATGTATTGTAACGTGTTTCGTTACTGAAGACGCCATTCGGATTGTTAATCGGTTTATTTAACAACTTACCAATCTCAGCTACAGTTAATTACAACACTGTTGCGGGGTTTCACACTTTATAACCCTATTCACAATAATCTGTTTACTCTATCTTCAGTAGTCTACATGTATTCACAGTACGGGAGCTATATAAGTGTCACTGTATTACACACTCCAAATTATTTTTCAGTTATCACAAACGATCACCGATTATCACACATGTCCGGTTCTTCTTTCCACGACTGCTGCTATACTCCAACTGTCTTTGTAGGCTGCCACACTTTAACTTGTTTGCTGCCGACTAACTCGTAACTGTCTTCGGCCGCTGATACACTTTTAACTCGTTCACTGCTGACTGGAGAACTGTCTTTGGCCGCTGATACACTTTTAACTCCTTCGGTGGCTGTATAGTTCCCTTATATAGTTGCAGTGTCTGCCTGTTACGTAATGGGTACCGCTGTTGCCTGACGCCGTGTTGATAGCGGCGTTGCATACCATGTCACAGTGCGGAGAGGGGGGGACGGAACGCTGACTCACCCGCCACGTCACCGTGGCCAGAGTTGCCACGTCACTTCTGGGGGAGGGAGGGGTTGTCCTCCATTGTGCAACATGTCACTATGAATGGGATTGATAGTGATCACCACTCGTATTTTTTACATGGCACTGAACATTTTGGTTATAGTATCAGAGACTTAAGTCAGACAGGTCCAGTGACCACCTGTCTGTTATCTATCTGTCTGCTCTCTCTTTGTACCTATGAGTTTGTCAGTTGTCTTTTTGTGCTACATTAGTCATGAGTGACTCATTTCTGTTTGCAGTCTTGACAAAGTGAGTTCAAATGAGAACCTGCAAAAGGACCTACTGGACTACATTAACTTTCGCCTGAGCAACAGTCCCAGCATCCAGAGCAATGTGGCTTCAACTTCAGGGAAGCTTGATGGTGGTTCCAGCTCACAGTTCCGTTTCTCTCAGCATCTTCTTGGACTGAGCCGTGGATCCTTTCTCTTTGCCAAACTAACCCTTGATCTGCTGGAGAGAGGACATTTAGTGGCCAAGTCTTCTGGATATAAGGCATGTGCAAACAGGCTATTCTTGCAGGAATATTTTAATATTCTCTTTGTCATAGATGGAACATTTTGGAAGAATTACCTTTAGTCTTTGCCTCCTTTGGTAATTGTTACTCATAGTTGAACAATAAAGTTTATGAAATCACTGTATGATGTTGGAAACTGATTACTTATTTTGAAAAATATTGTTCATTGATGTGGGGGGTCATATTTAGGAAATTCATGACTTAGTATTTTATTATTTTATTTATGTGATTATGAAAAGATTCCCTTTCCAAGTGGCAGATTTTAATTAAAAATAATAAGATCACATTCTGAAGTACAGTTTGTACAGGCTTGAAATTTTCTTTCCTTTTAGGGCTCAGAACTTCTTCATGACATACAGTTATTAGCCTGTATGGTGTACCTGGTTATGATAATGTTTATGATGATGATGACAGATTTTATGGACAGTATATAGTAGACATACATGTATTATCAGCTGTTGTTTAAACTTAGCAGCTGTGAAATTTAGTTAAAAGAAATACATTATAAGAAAGAGAAAGAATTAGTAGAAGAAAGTTTCACATGGTGTGGTGTGTTTTTATTGTAGAGTTCATTGATTTTAGTGAAAATGCATTACATATATCAACAAGAGGAATACTAATTTTTTAAGTTTGTTAATGCAAATATTCTCTAATTGAGTATTTGTAAAACAAGGAGTTTTCTGTTTTTTGAAGACACTAAGAAATTACTGTCTCCGGTTCAGGAAAATGCAGTACTAATGTTTATTTTATTGCAAATTAAAAACAGTTGTTAACCAGTTGAAAATTTCTGCAGGTGCTTCCAGTGTCACTAGCCCAGATATTCTTACTGCACTTCAACCTTCGCTTCCCAACACTGCGGTCATTCGAGAAGGTGGCACCCATCCTTAGTGTGTGTCTAGCAGCCCTTTACCCTCTTACACTGCTAGAAATATATTATTCCATTAATGCCCTACACACGAATCAGTTCCTCCCGTGGGATGAATTTCTTCAGAGGTTCAAGGTGAGCAAGTTGATAGCCATCCAGTTCTTTGTTCTGTCCATTGCGATATTAGAAAGTACTGTGGTGAATAGCCGCAATGCTGAATTATTTTCAGTGATTGTTTCACATTTGTTACCCAAGGAATCACTAAATATTTGTATATGCTATCATTGTTCCTGAACCTGACTGAAGGTTCAGGAACACACGAGTGCCATGGTACAAGTTACTAGCTCAAGAAAACAGCTGCTAAGTAGAAAGTGGTTAGTGTTATAAATGATTGATGTGTAAAAATTGTACTACTGTAGATAGTTTTTGCTCTCATCTCAGTTCTTAAAATTTTTCAAAAAATTTTCATCCTGGTTTTATCTGTAACTGGAAAATTCATTTTCCTGCATATGTACTGGTCAAAAGATCCTTTACCATGTAGTTGGTCTGTCACTTAGAATATATGTTTTCATTAACAAATAAGGAAGTACACTGAGATGTATTCCAATGCAGTTTGTATGATGTGGTTTTAACTAAACAATAATCATAGAAGTGGGGCACTTTGTTGTAATGAAGTTTTAGGACCACAGGAATGTATAATGTGGTCCCATGGTTAATTTTTCCTGTACTTATTATTCACCTTTGTTCTATTTTCAGCTGTTGTCAGGTCTGTTGGTCAAGCGACTAGACAACACTTATATGTTCTTCCACCCATCGTTCCGAGAGTGGCTCATCCGTCGTGACGAAGGCGAGAGCAACAAGTTCCTGTGTGACCTACGTTCAGGTCATGCCGGCATTGCATTCCGGATGTCTCGTGTTCAAGCACCCCTTGATGCAGAAAAGACCTTGGAACTAGGACATCACATCCTGAAAGCCCACCTATACAAGAATATGACTTTACACAAATACTCGTCAAGAGACCTCCAGGCTCATTGGGTGGCCAGTAGTTCTGAGGATGTTTCAGCAGCCCTCTGCACTCTCAGGAACATCTACAGCCCCAATGTTAAAGTATGTTATATATTGTTTAGGTCCCTGAATAATAATCTGCATATCTCTCTCTAGCCTTTCATCACACAGATCAGGATTTCTCAGCTAGCTTACTTCATCATTTTTAATGAGCCTCTGAAGGTTTGTGTGACAGTGGTCAGTTATTTGTTATAAAATTATTACATTGGACATGGACCCTCTTAGGTATATGTAAATTATACAATAATTTGGAAGCTGGATGTGCTTCCATTATCAGACAGAAAAAAAAGGGAAAATTATCCTATTCAGTTGGGCCTATTAGACAGAGACAGTCTTGGTTACCTGGAAATAAAAGAACATAAAGTAGGATATGCATTTTACTACTGTCGGGTTTCATATGGGAGATAGATATGCAAGGGGGGCTCAAAACAACATGTCAACAACATGATGTCTGTTGACATCATATTTCACCAGTGGGATAAGAGAGTATAAACTTACAAGAACTAAATAGTTAGTATAGTTACATACAAGAACTAAACCCAAAGATGAAAAACAGGAATCCAGAGACTATGTATAGCATTCCATGCAAAAGTGGAAAAAGATATGTAGGAAAGATGGTTAGATCACTTTACACCAAAGTCCTGAAGCACAAACAGAACACAAAAATGGGAGATATAACCATATCAAAAATAGCAGAACACTCCTAGATGAGGACCACAGAATACAATGAAACAAGACAGAAATGTTTTACAAAGAAGAAAACAGGATCATCAGGGAACACAAAGATACAATTTTCATCAAAACAGGAGAATGGGTAATCAGCCAACCAAGTGTAGATATCAGCTTCTAGTGCTACAGAATAGGAAGTAAGTCTTTGGTTTTAAGTTGTTTATACTCTGAAAAAGTTAAATAGTTCATGCAGTGTGACTGGTTAAGATTTTCTTATTTCATAATAGAGCAGGCTACAAACACATACAGGACAACATTAAAGAACCCTCTTCTCAAGAAGGACAGGGTGGCACACGTTCAGCCCCCATCGAAAGAAATAATAAGAGGGACGACACGAACCAGCTTGGTTCACGAATTCCAATAGAATCTTAACAAACTAACTATAAATATTTTAAGGTATTGGAACAGCTGCTGTAGTTGTAAAGACCTTAGATTTTACAGCCAATTGTATATTGTTTATATTGTATGCATATATTTTAACTTGTAGAAAATGTACTGTAATGGGGGCTTCTAACAGTATTGATGTAAAGGTGTCCCTCTGAAGATGGTCTCTGAAGGCCGAAACATGTAAGGGCATGAATACTTGAAATAAGAAAATCTTAACCAGTCATACTGGATGGAACTATTTAACATTTTCATAATATTAGTGTGACGGACCAGAATGAATCAAGTCAAATTCATTGTTTATACTCATTGCTCCAGCTGGTAGTATTTCACATAAACAGGTATCTCAGTTGCTTTGAACCTGTTTTCATTTCTCTCTCTCACACTTGACATTTGATGGTAGCAGAATGTATTTTCTGCTCATAACCTATTTCATTGCCCAGTGGTTAAGACTAGCTTTGCCTATTGCGCCCAACTGAGTAGAGTTCTTTCCTCCTATTGTGCATCTGATGATGGAGTCAGATCAAGCTTTGGAAATGTACCACTATTTAAATATACCTATGATAATGTACAGTGTCCAACATAATAATTTTATAATTGATTCTTCTGAACACATTTCACACAGTACGGTAATATTAGTGAGATCTTGTTCAGTCTTTTTATTTAATTATTTTTCATCTTATTAGGCTGTGCTGCTCTTCTGTTGTTAAACTGGTACTCTCTTGGTCCTTTTTACTTTTGCTTGTATTTTTTTTACATGCTATGCCATTTATAGGATTACCAGTAAGTAATTTGTCACCTGGCCATGTTACAGGTGCTATGTAGAGTTACCTTAGCGGTGAAATTGCCACCTTTCTGTCTTCAAACTTGCAAGATATTCAGGTTCCCATATCCTATACGTGTTGTCTCCACCACAGTTATGGTGTCATGCCTATCCATTGTGGATTACTCCAGCTTCCACTTCCCCCTTTCTGGTCAAAAGATAGACTTAGCTAGTCTCCCCAGCTGTCTGGATTTCTGGGTTATTATGTACTGAGATAATAGAAATATAGGACTATCCATACTGAAAGAAGGGAACCTCATCATATACCTAGACAAATAACGACAGTGGACCTGAAAGCCAAAACCTTGTCACTGATGACCATTCTTGATTTTAATATTGTTTCATATTTATTTTTGTTCTTAAAATGTTGTTAGTTGGATACATCGTCTTGTAAAGTATAGTGCGTATTACAGAAAAAACTATGTGTGAACAGGATAATGAAATATGAAGAATAATATGAATATAGTTTTATGCATGCATATATATTTGCATGTGCATGCACACAAACAACAACATCAAAACAAGCAACTGTAAAACAGCCATTGCTATGTAACAACCCCACAAGCAAGCGTGTTTCCATTGCAACAAGAGAACAGCAATAATGGAAGAGACGTTTCCTATGCCATCCATACCAGAGTGTTATTACCAGGACCAGTTAGCAGTTGCATTGAGTCAGAGAGCTGATGGGGTTCATTATTAGCTGTTGCTGTTAGAAGCTGGTAGCTGAGGCCAGAGACAGTTTGGGAACCTAGAGGCAGGGGAATGTCTGCCACTGGAAGCCACTGCCAAGCAATGGCAGTGAAGACATGACTGCAGACAGTGTGTTTGTAATAGTGAACTGTAAAATGTAACCGCATGCTGTATCAAAGTGTGCAGTGAATTCAGCGTCAATCCAAAACCTGTCTGTAGCCACACTGATATAAATGATAATATCTTATGCCTTATACAAGTTATTATACACAATTTGTGTAGTGTGGTGCCATGTGGAAAGGGTTATGCACTGGTATAATCTGTAAAGCATTGTTCTTATAATATTTTATTTTAATGAAAATTGTGTTGGTACAGGTGTCTCGTCTATTACTGCTGGCTGGAGCATCTCCAAATCACACAACAGAGTTCCTGGGCAATGCACCAGTGTTGTGCATGTATGCACATGAAGGTGTTGCTGAGATGGTATCTGTACTGCTGGAGTTTGGTGCAGATGTGGAACTGACCAACAGTCAGGGCTGCACAGCTCTGTCGCTGGCATCAACACGAGGCCACTGTGAAGTTGTGCGCCAGCTGGTGGCAGCTGGGTCCAGTCTGGGACATGCAGACACAGCTGGCCGTTGTCCCCTAGTTCATGCTGCAAGAAATGGTCGCCTGAATGTAGTGGGATATCTCTTGGCATGTGACTGGGTGCTCCGCAACCCTGAGACAGAAGTGGAGCTGTGCGAGGCAGCACAGCAGGCTTTAGTGGCAGCTGCTGCTCAGGGGCACACTGAGGTGAGTTTCAGCACTTATAGCACTGATGAACTACTTTCCTTCAGCTGTCAAAATTATTCACCTTAATTCCTTTTTCTTATGGAACTTGAACATTCATCACTTATCACCAAAGCTAAATATTGAACGCCATCATGAGCCAGTTTAATCTAGTCCACACCTTGGCAACTATATCTGTAAGATCATCATGAACTTTTAAAAGTTAGGAACTCTGGACTGTTTGGTCTTACCTAAAATCTCATCTTGACAAGCATCATTGAATGATCAAAGATTCAGCAGTCAGCCATGCTTTATAGGGTACAGAATGTCATTGTATTTCACTAAAGATTCATCATATTGAAAAGAGTAGTTTTATTAATTTTGTAGATCTTACTGTGCTGGAGGCCTGTATTTTTCATGTATCAGTTGTTTGTACCACTTTTGACAAAACTGATTAAGATGTAAAGTGTATTATAATAATAATAAGCAAAATCATATTCAGTTTATGACCTTTAATGGAGGGACAAATCCCTCCCCCAAAATCATATTTCAACAGGATCTGTTGAGTGGTTTCAGAGAAGAAACATGTGGACAAATGTGACCTTCCCTTAATGCAAGGATTGCACTAAGGGAAAGCCATCAAGGGCGTTTCTTCTCATAAAATGTATTTGTGTGAAGGAGACCAACATTTTTGACAGCAGCATATTTGGGTTATGAACTTATGTAGCAAAATATAGATTTTGTTAATTAATTTTAAGCCCCACCCCAACCCTCTCCAGATACATAATTATGTCACATCTTTACAAGTACCTAGCAGTATTTCCTCTTCTGATATTTCTGACTGTTCTCAGATTGTGGAGTATCTCTTGGATATGGCAGAAGTTAAGGCAGATGCCCATGACACACTGACTGGAGAAACAGCACTGACTGTGGCATCTTCTAATGGCTGCCACAATGTCTGTACAGCCCTGCTCAGCCGAGGGGCCAGCATTTCTGCTGTCAACAGGAAGGTGAGCTATAAACATGACTATTATCTCTACTTTGTTGTGCTTATGCGTTACTTCATCAGTATATATAAGTTTGCCAGTGAATGTAGTCTGAAGATTGTTATACATATATGACAAATTAGAGAGAGTGGCTAGGAAGCACTGTTGGAATGTATTAGAGACCTTTAAATTTCCCTGAAAGGACTGCTGGAAATGACAAAAGGCCTCAGACAGTTTCTGAGTTCCTGAATTGGGTGCATCTGAAAATTTGAGGCAGGTGCATTTTGGTGTCCCATTAAATACATGCTCTTGTGACCCCACAGTGCTTGTTTATTTGTATTTATTGTTTCTAATTGACAGTTTAAGGGATCATATTTAACTTCAAAATCTCTGTCCTGAAACTTGACATATAAGTCTGTTTTCTCAAGGGATTCTAAGTTGTCTCCACATTGAAGATGTCACACTTTTTATGAAATCCACATTTCAGATAAGTATTCAATGCAAGCAGATGGTTGATGCCTTTGCTTATATCTCTGTCAGACTGACCAGTATACAAACTAAGATAGTTTAAACTATTTCAAAATATGGCAGAAGATTACAATACTGTTATCAAATTACAAAATAAGTGTGAGTAAATCAAGTTTTCTTGACAGCTGCAAGGGCATACTGCTCAGACAGATTTGTTTATAACCAGTAATACCAAAATTTCAGCCATCTAAACTTATGAAATGGGAAGAATGTCATGGATTTTGTACAGGGGTAGAGTTTGAAAAAGTATGAAACTTCTTAAATAATTTTTTAGTCAAATGGCAAGAGAACAGCATTTTTACTGCATAACATACTTTGGTGCACTGCTGATAACTGATAAACTGTTGTAGTGTCTAGACATATGTGCTAAGAGCTGTTATTTCTTTAATATGGCAGGCTCATGCAGTTTAGTACATACTGATTATTACTTTTTAACACAGTTTAGTTAACAGAAGAGCACCCATCTCAGCATTTAATATTTTATGGAGAGGAAACTGGCTTCAGACCTGTGGGTATATTCAAATTAGGGAGTGACACAGAGTAGTTTGTTTTGGGTCATTTATAAAAAGCGCCTCCATGCTCTGCAGGAAATGGCTCCCCTGCTTCTAGCAGTGAAAGAAGGCCATTGGGCTGTGGCAGAGAAGCTTCTGCAGAGCCATGCACCTTTGGAACAATGTGACCCTGTGGGTCACTCTCCTCTAATGCTTGCTGCCTCAGAGGGGCATGTTGGGCTGATAGAACTGCTACTGGATAAAGGTGAGTTATAATGGTTTGTCTGAAATGTGTTGCATTTGAAAGCTACTCTGCCAGAAATTTGTATTCTAAATGATCACAGAGAATGCTGCTTACCAGTCAGAGTGCAGCATTAGAAGTGCTTCTCTTCTCTTTATTTTCTTATTGTTTTTCAGCTATCATACGTAGATTAGATCATAGAGCCTGTTCATATTTTCTAAAGTTTTGGAACAGTGAATTACTATATTTTAGACATTCGGTGTTACTTCTTGAATAAGGAATTGATCTGTCATCGAGGCCTCTATGTATGCAGAAGAAATTTCAGCAAAATATGGACACATAATTGTGCCTTTAGTGAAATTTGAATGTGCAGTCTCTGTGTTGGTGTGGTTCAAAACCATACATGCCTTGGATCATATTACTGGTTTCAGATATACATATACACCTTTGTACAGTGTTTTAAGTAGAACTTCAAATTTTGAAAAAGGAATATCTAAAAAGAAGAGGTGGCATCATCATTCTGCTTTCTTCTTCAAAGAAATTTTTGTGAATGTATTGTGACGTGTTGCGCAATGCAGGACACCCCTCCCCCACCAGTGGTGACATAACACCGCTGTCGTCACTAGAGTTGCAGGTGGATGAACCCCCCTTCCCCTACCCCACCAGTGGTGATGCGGCCAAAAGATACCGCGGTTGCTAGGCAGCAGTAAACAACTCATGACAGTGATGCTAGCAACACAGAGCCAGACAACAGTAGTGCCTATTACGTGGCTGTTTTCTGTGTTGTCCGGAACGAGGCTACATAAGGAACAGTGAAGTCTATTTACAGTTAGTTCCAAGCAAGCCTACGAGTCAGTCACAGCTCTCAAGTGAACGAGTTAGTTCTCAGTTTCTTGAGTTACGAGTTAACAAGTCAGCCAGGCAGTCAACCAGCATTTGCAGTGTAGTATTTGTGATACTGCTGGTGGCAGTAATGTTGAGCTTGTAAATTGTGTGATTGTAAGAGCGAATGTGAAATAAAATTTGCTATATCCAGTAAGGTGTGAAGTTATTTGTCATGTTATACACCGAACATGTGACAATATGAAAGAGAACTGGTTTGACCACTGTGTGATAAGTTTTAATCGTGTTAAGTTACTGAGTGTGCTAGTCCTGGAGAAGTTTTGTGGGTTGAAGTCCAGATCTGACTTATGTTCAATATTGTAATAATGAGAATATAGGCTTATGTAAGTTGAAGAAAGATGATTGTTTCTGCCTAAATGGGAAGTATGTGCTTCTAAAACTGAAAGTTTCAGAAGAATACAGATATTTTTGTTTTCTTTTATTTTTAAAGTGAAATCTGTTATAAATATGGATGTGAGATCCCTTCCCCTCTTTTAAGGGTTCAGTACTCTTTGAATTGTCACAGAAGGCAGATATTTGTCTTGAAACATCCAAATTCTAGTCACTAGAGAAGTAACAATCTCTTAAATAACACAAAATTGCATCAGGTTTATCATACTTTCAGTTCCACCCTTTCCTATATCTAACCAAGAACATTTTAAAACTCAGTGTCCCCCACTACATTTAATATACAGTGGAACCTCGCTTAACGAGCGATGTTTCGCATAACGAGTGATGAGAGGGGAAATCCCAGATTGTGCGCTTGCTACATCAGTCAGTGTTTAGCACTTATTCTGCTAGCATCTTAGTGTTGCTTGTGATCACACATTTTTCCAAACTTGTGTTCAGACATATTATTTGTGATTTTTTTTTGTGCAAAGTTTAATAACCCTTGAAAAAATGTCCCTGAAGAAAAAGTCGCAAAAATACAGCCATAAGAAAATAAAAATAACTGTAGAAATGAAACGTAAAATCATTTAAAAGCAAGAACAAGGTGTGAGCGTGGCTGATCTAGCATGCACATACAATCGGTCTACATCAACGATTTGCACGATTTGGAGTTGTATTGTGTTTCACAGGAAGAAGTTGTGGAGGAGAGTGTGTCAGAGGAGGAGGAGAAGGTAACAGCAAAGCAACAATCTTCGGGCGCAATAAGAGAAATGTTGAAAGCATGGGAAACTGTTGCATCGTACATTGAGAAGCGTCACCCTAATAAGGCAGTGGCTATGCGCGCTACAAATTTATTTAATGATAATGCTGTGTCTCTAGACAGCTTTCTAGTAAAAAAAGAATTAGTTGTGTATCATAAATAATAAACTAATTATTTCTATTCTTTTTTCTGCAAATCGAATTCACATTCCAGGTTGGTTCATTCCGCATAGAAGAAAAGATGAAGGTGGTTCACGGTCCTTAACAATGTATATATAATTTTCTTTGAATAAACGTTATACATAACATTTTTTGAGTATTATTTTCGGCATGGAACGCATTATCGTATTTTACATTAATTTATATGGAAAAAATTGTTTCGCTTAACGAGTGTTTCGCATTACGAGTAAGATTCTGGAACGAATTATGCTTGAGAAGCGAGGTTCCACTGTACATACTAAAATGCATTGATCAAGGGCATATAAATTTACTGGTCTGAAGTCTTATGATGAATTTAAATGGTGCAGCAAAAATAGTTTATGAAATAACAGCTTGATTTCTTGGTAAAGGAGTTTAACCCTTTGCACACCACATTCTGATTAGACTGGTGCAATATTAATCACACAGTAGAGCATTTCTGTCAATTGATGGTGCCAAGTATTATGTACTGATATCTAAAAGAAAGAACAAGCTTTCATCCTATCCACATCTGTGGGCAATGGAAGGTAATCCACAGAAGTATTGTGGGATTTTAGAGTGCAGTGGCATTTACCTCCAAGCAGGGGCTGCGTCATAGCTCAAGCAGTTAGTCGCTGGCTTCCCATCTTGGCGGCCCGGGTTTGATCCTGGTCTGGTCAAATGGGATTTGTGGTGGAAAGTGGTGCTGGGACAGGTTTTCTCCGAGTACTTCGGTTTCCCCTGCAAATCTTCATTCCACCAAATGCTTTACAATCACCCTAACCTATCATCTGGGGTTGGTACAATAGGCCAGAAGTGGCCACAGTACAAGGGACTTAGTCCCACCCCACTAGCAATAAAAAAAATGCCTCCAAGCAGCCTTGGTGTTTCTGGCAGGTAGCTCTGTGGGAGGGCCTGGCAGTTACTGGGTTAATGGACAGTTGTGAATGTGTGCTTACAATATGACTAGATCTGATATGATGTACAGAGTCACCCAGAAGTCAGACCCCATTGCAATTTGTATACGCCATACTGAGACCAGGAAGTAAGTACTGTGGATCAGCCATGTCTCTAGCTGTTATGCTTCATTCTCCATTGTACTCTATTGGTCTAACCATTCATGTTCATAACGATAAACACATGAGATAAGCTTCACTAGTGACAAGAGCTGTTTGGTACAGGCTACAATGGGCTGGAAGGGAATTAGCACTGGGCAAATTATGGGGAACCTTGAGCACCATCATTCTCACATTCTATGGGACTCCCTTCTAAGGCCTCAATATAGTGCCCCATAAGATTCCGAATTATTTCTTAAATGTTTTTAGTTTATATTATGTTGTTACTTGATTAGTTTTGTTGTTAAAATAATGTCTATATTCTCAGGTGAATTATGCTGACAGAATTATCACATGAACAAGGAAGAAAGATGGAAAGAATTTCATAATGATTATTTTAAAATATATACTCTTTTTCTGATATTATTAGGATGATTAAATCTGGGGGAATGAGATAGTCAGGTCATGTATCATGCACAGGGAAAGTGAGAAGCAAGTACAGATCAGAAGATCTCAAAGGAAGAGGCTGACCACACTTAAAATTAATGTTAGAGAAATACGGTGTCATGACGCAGATTGAATTTAGCCCGCTCTGGATTGTGTTTGGTAGCAGGCTTTTATGAACATGGTGATGTATCTTCAGGTTCCAGAAGAGCATGGAATCTCTTGATTGGTTAAATAAGTGTCAGCTTCTCAAGGAAGACTGTGTATCCTGGAGTTTGTTAGCATTCATAGTTGTTAAATTTTTACTGAATACATCGATAGATTCAAAGCATGGAAACTTAAAGTATACTTATCCCTCTAAGTGAGAACCTGGGGGACAGATTATGGATCATTAGCATTTTGGTACATTCTTCTGCACATTAATTTGTTCTGCTGTTGGTGCAGGGGCATGTAAGCTGCGGCAGGATCGGGAGGGACTTACTGCCTTGGGCTGGGCATGCCTGCGTGGAAGAGTGCAGGCTGCACAGTGCTTGCTGGATCGTGGAGCAAATGTGAACCATGCAGATAAGACAGGACGCACTCCCCTTGACCTCGCAGCTTTCCAGGGAAATCCCAGTTTGGTTCAGGTGAGGGCATATGTGCTAAGTGACCCTGTGAACTAGTTGTTTCATAAAGAGAATTTTTTTAAAATTGCTGACCTATAGATGTAGTGTTTGGAAGACTTTATAAAAGATCATTGTTTTTTTATATTACAGTAGAATAAAAATCACTGTAGCACCAGTGGGGCAAGCTCTAGGAACTTGAAGGGTAACCATTAAAGAGGCATAGTTTTGTTTCAGAAATAAAATAAAATATGAGTTAAATAAATAAGAGTAAATAAAATATACTACTCTGTCCAAAAAGTATCTGACCTTGGGCGTGGTTACAGTACCTAATTGCCTTAAAAGTAGGCCCCTTGTGACTCCACACACTTAGCCCAGAGGTCCTTCCATCACTGGAAGAAATTCTGGAAGGCTTCTTTTGGAATCGCGTGCAGCTGCGCCGTTGCGATCTGTATGATGTCCTCGCGGCTGTCAAAACGGCAGCCTTTTAGCGGTTTCTTCAATCTCGGGAACAGCCAGAAATCACAAGGAGTCATGTCAGGAGAGTAGGGAGCCTGGCAAACCTGCTGAATGCCGTGCTTGGCCAGGAAACTCTGGATCAGGTGTGATGAAGGAGCTGGGGCATTGTCATGATGAAGCTGCCAGTTGTGTGCGTCCCACAGCTCTGGTCTCTTGCACTGAACTCCATCACGAAGATGGCGGAGGACTTGTTGGTAGTACTCCTTATTGACAGTCTGGCCTAGTGGTGCGTACTCATGATGCACAACACCCCGGTAATCGAAAAAAACAGTCAGTATCACCTTCCCATTGCTCCGAACCTGCCGTGCTCTTTTGGGCCTCGGGAATGTTGGATGCTTCCATTGTGACGCTTGGACCTTGGTTTCCGGGTCATATCGGTACACCCACGACTCGTCACCAGTGATCACAGTCTTCAGGAACTCAGGATCCCTGTTGGTGCACTCCAGCATGTCCTGCGCGACCTCAAGACGGAGTTGTTGCTGCTCTGGCGAAAGCAGCTTGGGCACAAAGTTTGCCGCTACTCTTTGCATGCCCAAATCCTCAGTTAAATTTGTGTTTGAGGAACCTGTGCTGATCCCAACCTCATCAGCAACTTCACAGATGGCCAAACGACGGTCCTCCATGATCAGTATCCGCACTTTTTCAATGACATCAGCATTGACGGTCTCCTGGAACGCTGCTCACTGTCCGCCGACATACAGCGATGTTTAAAGCAGTTGAACCACTCTTTGAGTGACCCCAATTGCATCATTGCCGAAAGCCTGCTGAATTTTGTGAATTGTTTCCGCTTGGGTATCCCCAAGTTTCTGACAAAACTTAATGCAGTATCGCTGCTCCAAGCGTTCTGTCATCTTGAGCAAAACGAGAATGCGATGAACACGTGTTACACCACTTCACTCTCAGGCAGCTACAGACGCATCTGGCAGTGTTGCGAATTAGCAAAAAATCACGCATGCTCATGAAAGTCCCTTCTACCACTACGCCTCCATGACGGTCCTCCATGATCAGTATCCGCACTTTTTCAATGACATCAGCATTGACGGTCTCCCGGAATGCTGCTCACTGTCCGCTGACATACAGCCATGTTTAAAGCGGTTGAACCACTCTTTGAGTGATCCCCATTGCATCATTGCCGAAAGCCTGCTGAATTTTGTGAATTGTTTCCGCTTGGGTATCCCCAAGTTTCTGACAAAACTTAATGCAGTATCGCTGCTCCAAGCGTTCTGTCATCTTGAGCGAAACGAGAATGCGACGAACACGTGTTACACCACTTCACTCTCAGGCAGCTACAGACGCATCCGGCAGTGTTGCGAATTAGCAAAAAATCACGCATGCTCATGAAAGTCCCTTCTACCACTATGCCCAGTTTCCCCACCCCTTTGGCCATTACTTACAGCAGAAAAAATAAAGTCGGATACTTTTTGGACATACTGTATATGTAATTTTAAGCATCTGGTTTATGCTTGTGGTGAAAATAAACATCCCAGTAATTTGTTCTTTATCCCATTTGTATTTAGTACTGGTATTGCACTGTTGGCTATAAGTCACATACGGAATGATGAATTGTAGGTATATAGTGACAGGAAGTGCTTGTTTTCTGTTGTTTCATTTAGAGGTAGGTCATATACAGAGGGGTGCAAAAAAATGTCCACACTCTTTGATAGTCAATATCTTTGGAACAAAATGACATGTAGTTACAATTCTTGCATGGAGAGAGAGAGATAGTCATTGTATGTGTTCGAAGTGACCACCATCAGCGGCTAAACAGAACTGATGCCGTCGAACTGCTGAGCGAACTACAGCTGTCAGTGTGTCCGGTGTGATGGATGCACACAATGCTTCGATGGTTTCTTGTAGTGTGTTCAGTGTAGCTGTCTTTTGCTGATGAACTTCATCCTTCCAGGTTCCTCATAGGTAGAAGTTGAGAGGTGTTAGGTCTGGAGACCGTGGTGGGTACTCAGTAGCGCCTCTTCGACCTATCCATCGTTCAGGTAGAGTGTCATCCACGTACACCCTGACATCTCGATGGTAGTGAGGTGGAGCACCATCTTGTTGTAGGTAAAATCTCTCATCTCCAAACAGCTCTCGAATGTCAGGGAAAATTGATGTCTGAAGCATATTGAGATACACCTGACCAGTTACGGTACGTTCAAAGAAGAAAGGACCAATGAAACCGCGCGATGACAGACCACACCACACATTAACACCCGGTAGATTCACTTCCTTGCCCACATGAACGTGTGGATTTACAGGAGCCCAATACACACAATTGTGGCGGTTAACAGTACCGTTCATTTTGAATTGCACCTCATCAGTACCGCTTCAATACAGCCTTGTGTTGCTCAAAGAACAGCCTTTCAGCCATTGTTGCTGCTGTCTTCTGCTCACAGCGTGCATGCAGCACGACACTCACATGACTCATGTGACCTCCACCATCTGTTGAGAAAACATTACACTACACTACCGCGCAAGAATTGTAGCTACATGTCATTTTGTTCCAAAGATATTGACTGTCAAAGAGTAAGTACATTTGTTTGGACACCCCTCTATTTATCAAACTAATATCAGTGTAAATGTATGCAAATGAATGAAAGAACTGTTGTTCCCACCTTCCTTCCACCCCCTTAGCACCCTCAGCATGTCAAAGACTTCATTCTTTGCTAATGATAAGGTGATTAGAAAACTGTCTGTCCTCTTAGCCCGTGCTAGGGTATCCTAGCCCTATTAGCTATGCATGCTAAAAGACAAAAAATATGACACCTTCCTCCCTTCTGTGTTTGTGTACAGAAAGAATGATCTCTCTGCAAAGTAGGATTTTAGTTTTTTTACAGCAGCAGCTGTGAAGAGTTCCATGTTCTGGGATGTAATGTCATGTAATCCGTTGAAAGTCATCTGACTTTTTGGTGGAACATGTCACCTCTCTTTTCAGGGTCAAAGAATAGTACTGTTTGCCACCTGTTTCATGGTGGTTTCTTGCTTGACTGTTCTTTGACCCTGAAGATAGAGGGGCTATGTTCCTTCAGAAAGTCAGTTGGCTTTTAGTGAACTACATGGCATTGTATCCCAGAAGATAGAACTCTTCTATAAAGTAGTTTAAGGTGATTTTTTCCAGTCTTTATTTATCCCATCCTCCACTGGTCATAGCATTTCAGGTCCTTCCATTTGGGTACTTGGCACCCTCATCTGGTTGATTCAGAGATGTTAATAAGGAGTCACATGAGAGAATGATAATGTATGGAAAGCGGGGAAGGAAGCCATCATAACCTCTTTCAGCATATAGTGATAACATTTGTTTTAACGAGCTAGTAAAGCTATAAAAGACCTCATTCAGGACAGCTGGTATTTTTGCCAAGATCTGGCAATGATTGATTGTTACTGAATGGTGTGGTTGAATGGTTAGCAATTCTCAGTTGTCCTTCCATTTGTTGTTATATAACCTGTGCAGCTGAGAAAACATTGTTAAATGAACCGAGAATTTACTTAATACATTTTGTAGTGGGAGTGGAGGCCAAGGCAGGAAATTACAGACTGCATTACAATGATCAATGGAAACCCAAATCTGAAGGTTTTGGGCATGCATACATGACTCAGGACATGATACAAGGTGGTTCAAATATGACCGGGACTGATTTTTTTTTTAAACCAAAATTGCCAAACACTTACTTGCACTTCAACGTACTCCCCTCCGGAGTCAACACATTTTTTCCAACGTTTCTGGAAGCATCCTAATGCCCTTTTCAAAAAAGTCTTGTGGTTGGCGGTGTATCCACTCCCAAACATTCTGGATGACGGTGTCGTTGTCCACAAACCGCATGCCTTGCAAGTCTGATTTGAGCCTTCTGAACAGGTACAAATCACTTGGTGCCAAATCGGGACTGTACAGCGGATGTGTCAGAAGGTTCCATTTCAGTTTCCGGAGGGTTTCCATTGTTGTTTTGGCCGTATGGGGGCGTGCATTGTCTTGAAGGAAGGCTACCCACTTTCCACCTCTCTTCTGCTTGGATCAGATCTTTTCCTTCATGTCTGTTGCCAGGAGGTCTGAGTAATAAGCTGCATTGACTGTTCTGGCATCTGTCAGAAAGTCTACATGGATAACCCCCTGCCAGTCCCAGAAGAACGTTGCCATCCCTTTTCCTGCCAAATGGCTCCCCGTGCTCTCTTGGGTTTGGGAGAACTGGTATGCCGCCACTTGCGTGATGATTGCTGGGACTCGGGAATGAAGTAGCGCACCCACGTTTCATTGGTGGTCACTATAGACTTCAAAAATGCATCACCTTCATCTTCAAACTGCTGTAGGAGACGACGGGCAACTTGCATGCACACCATTTTGTTCACGTCCTTCAAAGTGCATGGTACCCACCATGCATTCACCTTGCAATAGTGCAGGTGATATTTCACGATGTCTTCAACACTACCAACACTGATGGACAGCATTGCTCCAAGTTCCTTGATAGTGATGCGCCTATTCTCACGAATAAGTGCGTCTGCATGATCAATGTTTGGCTTGGTGACGGATGTTCGCGGCCGACGATCATGCGGTTCATTCTCCATGCGCTGTCTGCCCTCTCTGAAGCACTTACACCACTCAGACACACGGGTCCGTGAGAGACACTCTTCCCCATACTGTTGTTGGAGTCTGTGGTGAATTTCAGCGGACGGGACGTTTTCTCCAACGAGGAATTTGATCACAATGCGTTGTTCCATGCTCCGCGGTACCTTCTATATGTTCATCCCTCTAGCAACTCCCAGACAGCACTGAACAGGTTCTAACCCTAACAGGAGGGAGAGTGGAGGTTGTGGTTACAATCTCTCAAGGTCGCACAGCTTCCGCGCAGTGCGGCTTGTTTACAAAAAAATCAGTCCCGGTCATATTTGAACTACCAAGTAAAAGAACCCATTCTATAGGTGGGATCTAAAAAAATTATCTTGAGACATGTCTATGATAAACCCTTCAGAATCAGATTCGCTAATAGAAGGGTTTCAGCCCGAGAGAAAGGGGGGACTAATCTGGTACACAGATGGCTCCAAGACAAGTAAAAGCACTGGAGCTGGGGTGTATTGCCATGTTACAAGGCAGAAGTGTATGCCATTAAGCCATGCACAGTTGAAAAATTAGATAGGAACTATAAAAACAGAAACATCTGCATTCTGTCAGACAGTCAAGCTGCAATTAAAGCACTTGGCAAATACCAGATCACCTCAAGACTGCTCTGGGACTGCCATCAATCCCTCATATAACTGGCCAAACATAACAGAGTTCAGCTGATATGGGCACCAGGTCATGAGGGTACTGTTGATACTGAAACGGCAGATCAGTTGGCAAGACCGGGATCTGAACATCCATTCATAGGACCTGAACCAGCTTTCAGCATCTCAGTAGGAGAGTATTGCAGGGAATGAAACCGCAGATCAACTGGCAAGAACAGGATCTGAACATCCCTTCATAGGACCTGAAACAACTTGCAGCATCTCAGTTGGAGTTGCCAAGAAAATGGTGAGGGAGTGGATGAACAGAAATTACAGAAAACCTTTGGAATCTGTAACTGGACTCAGACAGGCAAAGGGACTTATACTAGGGTCCTCTGCCAGAAGAATGAAGGATCTGTTGAAATTAAACAGAGATCAACTGAGATGGGTGGTAGGACTATTTACAGGACACTGTCACCTAAAAGGACACCTTTCCAAGCTGGGATTGACAGATGATCCCACCCGTGAAAGGTGCCTAGAAGAAGGTGAATCAGTCACACATATCCTATGTGATTGTGAGGCCATGGCTTTTTTAAGGTTTCATCACATGGGCCAGTTCTTTATGGGACCAAGTGACTACTATGATGCCCCATAAACAAAGTCCTACATTTCATACAAAGTGTAGGATTAATAAAGGGTTAATGAAAAGGGGAAGCACAATAGATCATTTAAGGTCACGGTTCAAGGGGCCGTATAATTATGGCCCACCCCTCATACATTCATACTACTTGTGGAAATTAATCTGTGGCATACTCTGATTGGGGGAGCTTGACTGTATCTGGGGCTTGAGCCTGAGAGGTAGCTCAAATTTAGCTATGAATGTTGTAGCAACTAGACCCATGGCTAGGTAGTGGCCCATACACATGCAATGGAGGAACACATAAAGTCCATGATGATGTCACGCAACAATAGAAGGGATGTTGCAGGCGGTGTTCTCTCTGGATCTACTCCAAGGCTATATGAATTGACTGACCAAGTTCAGATCAGTTAGTGAGTGCTGTGCAATGGAGTGGAGCGAGTTGTTTGATGAGTGAGTGAGTGAGAGGACTGCTGTGGTTCAGTCCTTGTGAGCTGTCAGTGTTAGAAGCTGGTAGCGGAGGCATTGGGATAATTGAGGAATCCAGAAGAAGAGGAAGGTCCACCATTGAAAGTTGTTACCAGAGAATACTTGGTAAAGGCTTAGCAGACTAAGAACACTTATTGCATGCTGTGGTGAGAAGACAAGGGAATGAATTAGTGAGAGTGTTATAGTTACCTGTAGTTAGCATTTGTAAGTGGTCAGTAAATCCAATTACCAATCCAAACCCCATCTATAGTCACTCATACATATGACAATATTATTAATTTTGTCAGAATATTTTAATTTGATTGTAAAAACAATGTAAATGAATGGAAGTAAAGATGAGAAACGAAACTAGCTCAAAAAGACGACTTCAGGATTATCCACAGCCTTTCACTGATACAAATCTTAAGTTGCACCTGAGCAACAGAAGCGTTGCTGTGCTGGTGTGTTTTATTATACTGCTTCAGCTGGAGAGATGAGATGGGAAGAAATTATAAATGGTGAATATGTAATGGTAGAGAAGGGAGTACTTGTGGCTTTTCTCAACACAGTATTCTAAAATTCACCTGAAGATGTTGGAGAATAATTAGAGACCTTTGTAAGGTAGGACTGGAATCTGATGCCTGTTGAAAACAAGTCTTTTGAGATAAGCTGCTCAATCTTATGTGGAAGTGTATGATAACTTGAAGCCATTTTGTTGTTTTGGTTTCAGCTTCTCATGGAGAGAGGGGCAATGATTGAGCATGTGGACATCAATGGGATGCGACCATTGGACAGAGCCATAGGTTGCCGCAACACGCAGGTGGTCCATTGCTTCTTACGCAAAGGTGCCAAGCTTGGTCCAGCCACATGGGCCATGGCTACTGGTAAACCAGAAATCATGTGAGTTTAATTGTTTTCATAAAAGTACAGTTGTTGTTGTCCTTGTGCCTAAGAACTGTATGTGCATATTACTAACTGTGTGGTCTTAGTCCACAAGCGAACTATACCGACCGAGCAACCACTGCTTGTTGGCAAAGTTAGTGTCAACTTTTGCTGATAGAGGGTGTCACATGGTCAGCGCAATGGATCCCCACATCCGTTAAACCCAGTTTTCTAGACTGGAGCCACAACTTTTCCATTCAAGTACCTCCTCAGTTATACTCATGAGGCTGAGTGGACCCTGTTCCAGACCCACTACTCAGAAAATCTGGTAGCACTGGGAATTGAACCCAGGACCTCTGGATCTGTAATCAGGAACTCTGACCACTAGACCACAGTGGCGGTCAATTTGTGTATGGGTAGTGGAATAAAGCTTCACACATTCTTAACCTTTACATTAGATGGAAATGATTGGTCATCTTGTTCTGGACACTGAACTGAATCTTTTAGAGTCACCTACTACCTGGCTATATATATATATATAAAACCGTCAATACAACAAGTAAACCATCAACTCATCACCACATTTAAGTCAATTGAGTTTATTAACTGTGTTAAAATTACATGACATATTTCGGCTCATTAGGAGCCATCATCAGGTTAGATGTTATTTAAAGCTACAAAATACTGAATTGTAATTATGATTACTATGGATGCATATTACATTTATGATACAAAATTATATATAAAACAATATATAAAATAGTTTAATTTGACTTAGATTTACATTGTTATCTGCACAGGTCAACTCAGTTTTATATTTTGATTGTATTAAATAGTGTCACTCTTCATAAAATTGGTACATATAATTATGTTAGATATAATTTTTAAGTATGATTTTTTAGTGTGTGTTACTCACATTTTATATTGTCAAGCAAGTGTGGTGCTGTATATATCAATACTAAATAACCTGTGTTGAATTATTCTTAGGTAATGTGTCATCCCTGATACTGTAATGTTGTTTTTTCTTGCCTTTGCTAACTTGTTTTATGTACTGTATCTCATTTTTCCATGAATGATATATAAATTGACAGGTTGATCCATCTCTGAGTTTTCTATTATGCTGTTTCTTGTTTATCATGGAGTGTTTGATAAACAGTGAAACAAGAAACAGTGCTGCGGACAACAGAATTATAGAAAACCAACGATTCAGCCTGTTAAATATATCATTCATTGAAACAGCGCACTGTTTTGACAATATAAAATGTGATTAACAGACACTAAAAATCGTATCTAACATAATTATATGTACCGATTTTATGAAGCATGACACTATTTAATTCAACCAAAGTATAAAACTGAGTTGACCTGTGCAAATAATGATGTGGATTTAAATTAAATAAAACTGTTTTATATATTAATTTATAAATAATTTTTAAAATAATTGGAATATGGATCTATATTAATGACAATTATAATTTAATATTTTGTAGCTTTAAATAATGCACCACCTGATGATGGCTCCAAGTGAGCCGAAATATGTCACATAATTTTAACATAGTTAAACTCAATTGACACAAATGTAGTGATGAATTAATTGCATATTTGTTGTGTTGAAGGTTTTACACGATGCACGCACACATGCACGAATGCACACACGCACACACACACACACACACAACAGGATGCATTTCTTGAACCTGTATGTTAGGAGTTGGGTATGCCCCAGGACTAGTCTGGATGTGGTGATGAAGAATGAGTTTGAAGAGTTCTGTCTTCTGAGATGTGATGCCATATGGTGTGGTAGAAGTTTACTGTTGTTTTGGAGGAACCTGCTGCCTCCATCTTCATGGTCAGTGAATAAACCAAACAAGCAGCAAACAGAGTCATTCTGCTTGCTGCTGCTGCTGCTGGAATTACTATTTGACCTTTAGATTGAGACAGTACATTCCTCTGAGTTGTCAGTAAACTTCTGCCAGACTACAAAGCATCACATTCCAGAAGGTAGTCACCACCATGAGAATCTAAAAAACCTCACAAGATAAATTTTGCTTCTTCTAGGAATCAAACCATGATGTCATCTCACAAGCAGTCACTGTACTGACTGAACTATCCTGGCTCATGCCTATGCTGTTTAAATTCTCATTAGTACATTAATCACAACTGAATTAGCTGTCACCATGGTTTTATGTTGCTGCAAAATATACAGATTGTAGTACTAAATAAAATGCGTCTTTCAGAAAAGAAGATCAGCACTAGACATTTTTGGACAAACACAAAAAATAAATTTTTTAGTCTGCCCATATTGTAAGTTGTGGTGTGAAGCTGACACATCAGTCTGACATGGCTCTATCTCCAAAAGAATACATGATAATAACGTTAAATTTGATTTCCCTGTTTTGAACAAATTGACTGGGCAGTTCCTGTTTATGCAAAAATAAAATTTGCTTTAGAAGATGTGTGTATATTAATATAAAAAGGTGAAGTTTTCTCTGTGTGTAATCTCCATGACATGAGAATTTTTAAGGTAGCTGGAGGTAAAGCTCCATTATATATGATGGGGTACCCAAAAGAAACCAAACTAATTTTTTTGTGGACAGAGCTTTTGTAGTACCGCGTTTTGCCGCTATGAGCGCATAGAGATAACATTCCTGAGTCGATAAGCCGACTACTGTTGCTTCAGAAGGTAAGGACTAGTTTCAGCAGAGTTTATAGTGACAACTGTTTTGTGTGATCATCGTTTTTGCAATGGCTGATTTTCGTGAACAGCGTGCGGCAGTGAAATTCTGCTTTTTGTTTGGGAAAAGTGAAACAGAAACTCTTGAAATGTTAAAAACGGTGTACAAGGACGATGCTATGGTGAAAACTCAAGTGTTTGAGTGGTTTTCCCGTTTCAAAAATGGTGAAATGTCAATTGATGACAAACCTCATTCTGGGCGTCCTTCCATGGCCCGAACACATGAAAATGTTGAAAAAATTCATGAAATCATCAAGGAAGATTGACGACGGACCATTGAAGAAATTGTGGAGCTGTCGGGAGTGACTCAGGTGACTGGTTTTTCCATCATGACAATGCCCCTGCTCACACACGACAATTCTTGACCAAAAATGGTATGACCCCTGTTCCTCACCCTCCATACTCACCCGACCTTGTCCCGTGCAACTTTTTTTTTGTTTCCTTGAATGAAAAGAGACATGAAAGGAAAGCGTTTTGCTGATGTTGCTGAGGTGAAGGAAAAAACGCCGGAGGCGCTGTCAAGCATCTCAAAAGATGAATTTAGACAATGTTTTGAAAAATGGAATAAAAGACCAGACAAGTGTATTAGTGTAAGTGGAGAGTACTTTGAAGGGGATTGAAGGCTTGTGCTTAAAATTTGAATAAATAAGTTTAAAAAAAATAAGTTTGGTTTCTTTTGGGTACCCCCTCGTATTCTTAACCTTGCCAATAGGTTAAGGTGTGTGCTCAGCTTCATGCTCTGACTACTTTATACTGCTAGGGAAGGGAGTCTTTGGTACTTCTTGGTTAGGAGATTGGATGGATGCCATAGCTGCTTCTGGGCATGGTAATAATGTAAAAGCCTGCCCTATTCAGGATCAGCCCACAGCCAGACACTTTACTGGCTAAGCTGTTTTGGTTCTTTCACATAAAGAATCCATTCTTGGCTGCCTAATAAGCTAACAGTAGCAGTGCCATCATCAGTGGAGGTGGTGGTAGTGGTAGTAGTCATCTTTATACAGACATTTGCTGTCCCCAAGCAGTGCTCAGTCCTGTACTAGTCATGGCTTGTTTTAATTCTTTCATTTGCCAGTTTCATTGGTCAATCTGTCTTCTGATTTCCTGGTGGAGTATAATTAGTTTGTATTCTTTTTGGCCAGTTTTTTTCTTCCATTCACATTAAATGCTCAAATCAAGTTCCTCATTTAAAATTATTATGTACCTCATTAGTGAGGCTTGCCTCATGTTTGTGGCAAGCACAGCAGGTACCAGTTGCAACCACTGAATTGTGTATTTCTTCAGGCTTATTCTGCTGAACAAGTTGCTGGAAGATGGCAACGTTCTGTACAGGAAGAGTAGGCTGAAAGAGGCAGCCCACCGTTATCAATATGCTCTCAAGAAATTTCCCACCGAAGATCTGTGTGAACATACAGCTACATTTGAGCAGCTTCGTGTAAATTTTCTACTCAATCAGTCACGGTGTAAAAGGAAGATGAATGTAAGTGTCATGTACAGCAGTAACCAGTACCTCGGTACAAAGCACTTTCTGAACAGATAATATGTATTCACCTATGAGAATGTGCCTCATTGTTATGGAATTTAATGATCCATCACAATCAGTGCAGAAGTTTGGACTTTCAGTTCTGTTCACATCCCATCTGCCTTTCCTTTTATGTCCAGTTTAGTTCATCTGCTTTTCAGTATCCCAACTCATCTTCATTGATTACATTTCCCAAACTAATTGTCCCCTATATATTTGTTACACCCATGATGTATACTATTATTCTGCATGCCTTAGTGGCTTTGATTTAACCACCATAAATTAATAGCAATATTAAGTAAATCTTTGCATGATGTAATTGTCTCAATTTCTAGTTGCTTCCTCTCTCTTTGGTCCAGATATTTTTTCACTGTTCATATTCTTCTGATTTTATGTTTGCATGACATGCAAGACAAACTAACGTCTGGCCATCCTTCCTCATATTTCATTTTTGAAGCTGCCGCTCATATTTTAATTAAATTCGGTGTTAGCGGTCTACTCTAAATGTTACTGAGTGAATTTAATAGCGATTTATATTGATTCAGTGTAACCCTTGCTTCAAATAATGCTCAAATCAAAATCAATCAAGTTTCCTGGAAAATGGCTTGTTATAAGAAATTGGTACATGATATCCACTATTTGTCTCATGAAGAACTATAACTTCTGTTAGAAAGATATTTGATATGGTGAATGTTTATTGAAATATAATTTCAATCTTTGCAGCAGTAGATTTAGTTGTAAAGAGAGTGGAAACTTGGGAGTCAATACTGGTATCAAATATTATCTACATAGCACTGTTTTCATTTAGTTTTTTCATATCTTAATTATGTATATTGAATTTGACACAAAGATGAAGGATTATATTGCAAACTGAGTGAGTGATCAGTTATAATGTTCTGGTTCCAGGAATGTCAGGAAGCTGTGGAGTTGGCTAATCAAGTTCTGAAGCTTAAGCCTGAATCATTTGAAGCATACTATGCAAGAGCAAAAGCAAGAGTTGACTTACGGTAAGCATGCTTTACAATCAGTACTTAGGCTCTGAGATAACTGGTTCACTCCTTCCATGTCAAATCAACACAGCAGTTGACATGACCACTTTGGATTTCAACAGTATTTTGTAAGCCTACAGAGTCTCATGAGTATGAAGTTTTTACTTCCTGTGTGAATTAATTTAAAAGTTGTTGAATTTTGAGGTTTTGCTTTTTCCCATATTCCAATTCACTAAAATACATGTAAAGCTGGTCCTAATTAAGATAAGAACTCATTTGTGTACCACTTGAAAGCTCTTAAGTGGGTTTTCATTTTATATGCCACTCACAATAGTTTACCTTGAGCTTTGACCTTAATTTATGAAGATACATATAGCCAAATTTATGAAAGCTTTTTCTGAAATATTTTGTGATTCTTTAAGCATATTTTTGTAAAATTTCTTATTGAGACATGAATGGGTTGATAAGGTATGTATTTGTGTATAACTAAAGTTACATACATGCTGTTACTGGTCACATGGATTGAAGATTAGGGTGAGGTGCCTAGGCAATACAACATTAGTAACAAAGACAAAATAAAGGCAAAATACGAACATAGCAGGTTTATTCATTGTTTTTTTTTCTCCCATTTAAGTGAGAAATATTACTTTTGAGAGTACCTGTCTACAGTATGCAAAGCCTCATTTCTAGTGTTACCTACTCCTGTTTGCATATACATATTGTCACGTGTTGGGTGTGTCACGCGACAAATAACTTCACATGGGTCTCGGATTCAGTGAATCTTTATTGGACACTCACTTATACACCATACAATTATTATCGCTTGTGGTATCACGTGACTTCTGCGACGCCTCGACTAGGTTTCAACTGTCTTGTATGAAGCCTGGGTTCCAACTGTCTTGTATGAAGGCTCGGTTCAAACTGCGTTGCATGAAGGCTAATCAGCTCTGTTGTTCTCGGCTTATGTAGGTGTTATGCGGACCGGATACGAGACACCTTTTGCCAAGGTTCGATCTCACGTGTTTGGCAATCCATTGCTTTGGGAACGCTCTTTATACACTGGTAACATGTTTCGTCCCATCCGTTGTTACTCAACGGCCTTCTGTTGTTCATCTCTGGGGGAACGTGTTCGTTGTTTCGGCATTGTCTACGCAACGGATAATTGTTATTGCGTTACCATGGTAGTAAATCTTCTGGATTCCAAACATGTGACATTGCTCCCCTCTAAAGGTTGTTCGTCCCCAAACAGCCTAATGGTTCTTGCTTGGTTTCGTTTCCTAAGGTGTTCATCTTCTGCGTGTTAGCTCCACCTTTTCTTCGGTGTTTTGCCTTCCTTCCATCCGTTTTTTTTAACCATACGATTATTGCTTGTGGTATCACGTGACTTCTGCGATGTTGCGACTAGGTTCCAACTGTCTTGTATGGTGACTAGGTTCCAACTGTCTTGTATGGCGACTTGGTTCCAACTGTATTGTATGAAGGCTAATTAGCTCTGTCACTCTCGGCTTATGTAGGTGTTCTGTGGACTGGATACGAGACACCATTCACCAAGGTTCGATATCCCGTGTTCAGCAATCCGTTGCTTCGGGAACGCTCTTTATAGATAAGTAACGAGTTTCGTCTCATCCGTTGTTACTCAGCGGCAATTTGTCGCTATGATTTGATGCTGTGGGATCTCCACAATTTCCACTGTAGCTGTTGCGCGGCGATGGACGTAAGATAGCTCGTCACAATATGCATATATGTATATAGTCTTAGGACACTAGCACTGTGGCTAGAAAGAAAACATGACTGCTTTGTCCACACATTTTTCACTTTCATTTGTCATGGTGCCTTTAAATAATTAAATAATAAAAGCAATGGTTTTGTTTAACAGAATGTTTGAGGAGGCACTGGAGGATGTGCAGGAAGCACTACGCGTTGCTCCGCCACACAATCGAGAAGTGAGGCGGGTGCTGGTTAAAGTTCGAGATGAGGTCCGTGCTGAGATGATGGCACCACAGTTGGCTGGCCACAGAGGTCTTGCCACATCGGTTGATATGCTCAATGAGCCTGAAACTCGTATATAAAGAATAGACATTCTCACAGACTTACACGAACTAGGTATGATGCCTTTTAAGAGGCCCAGTTGGGAGAGACACTGTGGGTTTGTGTTGGGGTTACAGAGTTGTTGCCATTTATGCATGAATTGTGAAGGAAAGTGTTAGAGTTAGAAGTATTCTAATTTTGAAAAAATATATATTATGTCAGTTTTGTTGAAATTTTGTTGCAAGATTTATTAATTTTTAACATCCTAGAATAAATGTATTTATTGTCTGTATTCTATAACTTCAAAGGAATTATGTTGTGGTGTATCCTTGCCTTGTTAAAATAATGTAAGACTCATTCAACTGTGAAATATAGATACAAGCTTTTCTTCCAAGGCCAAAACCTATTTGAAATGTTGATTTGTTATTATAGTATGTATATACAGGAGGGAGCCATGCATACAAATTCTTCGTCCAGTTGTAATTGATTATTTGCTGGGCCACTGATAGATAGCACCAAAATTGGAATGAGGTGTGTTGTATGAGGGGCAATTAAATTAGATATGAAGACCACGTTGGCTCCTTCAGTGGCATGTGTGGAAAACATGGAATTTCCTCACTGCTGTACCAAAATTCTTCTATTGTGATGTCACTGATCTGGTGTCAAATGTTTATTTTTCATATGCTCAGTCAAATACAATGAAATCTCAACACAGATACTCATAGCAATCTTATCTACTTAATACAGAAATATCAACTCCAAATTAAAGACAGGGAGTATCTGCAACTCTTACTGTATTTTAATAAATGAAACAGCATTAAATGAAATGGTTACTTAGTGCTCCGAATTACTGATAATGGTAATATAATAAGTGACAGACCTTGCAGTTAATACCTGTTGTGTAATCTGACATAAAGGAAGGCTTTTTAGGGCATGACATTTTTTTATGCCTACACAAAAGTAGCATTCTAGTACAGCAAAGAAAATATTGTGTTCCACAGATTTGATCAAGTACATAACTTGTAAGATTTGAGGTTTTCACTGTGGTGACTATGAAGAATGCTATCTCATGGGATGTAAGGCCATGTAGATATTGTGTAAACCAACGTTTCAAAGGAACTTCTCGCCTCCAACTTCAGGGTATAAAAATATGCAGGCACCTGCTCATGCTGGTTCCTCACTTGCGGATTTTTATGCCTTGAAGATGGAGGCAATAAGCTCCTCCGAAACGTTGGTTTACACAATATCTACACAGCACCACATCCAAGAAGACGGCATTTACATAACGTATTATTTTCCATAATTCAGTAATTCTTTATAGTTTGTTCTGCAGAAACACTGTAATAGAAAATTACCGTATGGATTCTCAGAATTCCTTAGCCTATATAATAATGAAATCTGTGGTACAATGCAGTACCATAACTTGAAAGATTCATACATTATTTATGTGGTGTTTTGGTTACAGCATTAATAAAATATATGTTAACTTTCAAAATATTGCCGTGTATAAGGGGGTATGCATGACGAAATGACGGGTTCTAGTTCGGATCATTGGATTTATTAACAGCATGGTTACACACACTCTCTCGATTACACTCAAATCACAGTGCTATTGCTGATTTACATACACTCTCCAGTTCACCATTGCACACGCACTAGGATTTTCAGTCTTCCACTAATCGTCTCTTAGCAATGGATCTCCACACAGAAGCTGTCACTTCAAGTCACTCCAAATATTGCACATAATTAAGGTCTTCAATCACCCTTTAAATCTTCACAGGTCTTCTACAAACTCCCAAATACTCCATCTTCAATACTGCCTGAATAGTGTTCGCTGCTCCTTATATAGGCTCGGCATGGACCACATAGAAAACACGTGGCTTCTCTGCAACAGATATCAGATATTATTGTCGGGTGTGTCTACCCACGCATTGCCTACCGAGTGTTGGGTAGTGACAGGATGAGTGAGGATATGTGACATCACTCGGACTTCCTGTTGTGCAATCCACCTGTTCACAGAGTTGTCACCTAGCAACACGCTGATACAATACGCAACTCTCCAGTTGTGCACGTGCCCCGAGGCCTCTGTGGCTCAACAGTTCCTGCATAGAGCTAATATGCCACAATATGTTAAAGTGAAATAAAACATAGCAAGGATTCACTGTCACTGATTGTTCTCCCCGATAGTGTGTTTTTGTGTTATATTCAAAATTCTTGGTCCTCAAATTCTGCAGAACATGAAGGGATTCAATTTTAATTACAAATGACCACATAAAAATTAATTTAGTTCCCCTGCCTCTTTAATCGTAAAATGTGTTCCTTTTTGTTGCTCAGCCTTTTCTGATTCAGTAAAAGAGCAGAGTTTGTTTGCAAGGAATGGTATCCTGTCTTATATAGTACAAATAAAGTCTACAGATCTTTCTTTTAGTAGCATTTGTAAGCACTCTTATTTGCAATATACTAATTAAAACCTTTAAGTCACATCCAACGATACAACGCACGCAACCACAAGAGTAGAACACATCATAAGACACAATATACACACAACATTAGCGACATAAGAAGAACGACCCCCATGTGGATGATCAATAACACACACATATTTAAAATATGATTCATGAGATAATAGGTTTTAACAAGTTTTAAATACATAAACTTTATTATTATATAAGGACATATATAAATTTTATATTGTTTGTAAGTGGACATATAAAGGCAAGCAGTGAAATGGTTAACGGATCGATACACCTGAAGATGGCAGCATACTGCCGAAACATGTAGTGTAGAAGTGATAAATAAGATTGTATGCACTTGACTGTTAATACATACACATTATGAATATTAATCAGTGCAACAGGATGCTAAAATACAACATACCACTGAAGGAATTATTATTCTGTCTTCATGAAGTCTGCTCAGTTTGTGGATTATTTTAATTTTAATTTCCATAATTTATTAATACTTCAGAACTGCCCATCTAAGTTGTGGTTGACTTCAAGCATTGCTCTCTGCTGTATTTAACCTGTAGATATATAGAGTTAGAGTCTGTGGCACAACTCTGTAACAGGACTGAAGAAAGGAGAGTGCTCCTTGAACTGTAAACCCATGCAAATCACAAGACTGAGTCAATCAATTGCTGCCTGTAATGTGCTGCCGGTGTATTTATAAAGAGCATGATCACTTTATATTTTAACTGTCAGTGCATATTTTTCATATGTTACTGCTGGCAAGAAATAATATATAACACTTTTGGACTGTAGCTTTTCCTGTAATTTATAAAATGTGTACAAAGTGGTTGTTGGTTATCCTTTTCTAACAAGCCTGTTTTTAAGACTCAGACTCATTGATAAGCACATGCTTAGCAGATATAATTATCTTAGATTTTTATGCTTGTTAAAAATTTGTAATACTTATTCTATTTATGTAATATTAAGATTCATAAATTTTGTACTTTTTTCTCTATTGCTTTCTCAGATCTAAATGCATATTGTGCCAAGCATATACATAATAATCTGTAATTATTCAGACAAATTTATGAAACTAAATGATTTTATGATTTACCCCAACATGTTTTAAGCCTATTGTATGCAATATTACAATTTTTATCATTGTAAAGAAACAAATTTCTCTTGAGCTTTGACTTTGACCATTCTTAGATAACCTGTCCATGACAATAAAGTAGGAACACAGGAACAGAAGCATCAGAAAACTGTGCATGTATAAGGGTCACAATCACAGTGTAACTTGAGGAGCACTGATTTAGAATTCTGCAGGTAGTAGGAGTAAGAACAGGAAAGAACAGCAGGAGAAGAAGCTTCTACAAGGGGGGTGAGATGAAGATCATTGTGATGCAGAAGAACATATGGCAGGCCTTGCTCCTGCAAGGAATAATAGAAAAAATATTCTAGTTCCTTCTGAAGATTCAGGTCCAGTTACAGAAGTCTAAAGAAAGTAGGAAAGTGAGTAAAGACAACATTACAAAAAGTGTAAATTTATCATTGTTTTATACAATTTCTTTATTAAAATTGTCACAACAGAACTACGAGTATATCAAGGTGAGTGCCAAGTTTGGCTCCGCTACATGTTTCAGCTATTAAAGGCCATCATCAGGCAAATACATGGCTAACATATATACACCACTGAACTGCAGTACTAGTAAAATTGGACACAATAATATTAATTATATTAAAATACTTGGCATAAAAATACAATAAATTAGACTATATAAAACAAGAATAAAATTCTTCGAGTGATGCTTTACATCATCGAGTCAGTTGTTGGTTTTTGTGATTTTGTTGTGTTCCCACGGGCAAATTGGAGTATTCTATATTTTATGTATATATAATAAACTGTTTTGGAGGCTCGTGACATAGATGTAGTAATATTAATGTTAATTATTTAGTCAGTGCCTGATCTTACAAAGTATTGTCCGTTCTGTAGGGAATGTAATGCCGTTGTTTACATTCCCTGCAGAAGGGACAGTACTTCATAAGATGAGGCACCGACTAAATACTACTACATGCTGGTGTGCAGCCTACCTAACAATGCAGCAAGTGAATCAGACCCACAGCATGCCTTGCCTCTCATACCAAAACAGCAAGCAAATTATACATCCAGATACTGAGCCTAACCTACCCTAGCTAATAAATAAAGACTTGAGACACCCAGATAGCAAGTCTAGCCTGCGCTAGTGATATAGGGAGTATTTCAGTCATGTAGCGAGCCTGTTTAGGAATACAGAGAATAAGTTAGACAACCAGATAGTGAGCTTTCCCTATCCCAGCAGTACAGTAAGTAAAGTAGACATGCAGAGAGAGCCTAGACTACACTAGCAATGCAGCAAGTAAACTGCACACCCACATAGCCTGCCCTAACAAATACTGAGTAAGATAGCACCCAGATAGCAAACCTAGACCACTGTAGGAATACAAAGTAAATTATACACCAGTACGTATCATAGTTCAGCTGGTTATTTGCCGGCTTCCCACACCGGTGGCCTGGATGCGATCAAAGGTCATGTGTGGCACTGAGGCAGGTTTCCCCTGCCCATTCTGATTCACCAAATCCTCCATACTCATCTATCATCCAGGGCTTGTGCAATAGGCCAATTAGTAGCCATACAGAGTAGTCTCAGTCTCACCCCACCACAAGAAACTAAAAAAAAAAAAAAAGCAAAATTATTTAACCAAATAGCCAGCCTATCCAACACCATCAATACAGTGAAGAAGTTACATGCCCAGATAGAGAGCCTAGCCTAGCCTAGCCTAGGAACACAGTAGGTTAGATGCCCAGATAGTGAGCCCAGCCTACCCTAGCAAAACGACTAAATCGGACATCCAAATAGCAACCCTAGCCTATGTTAGCAGTATAATGAGTAAATTAGGCACATAGACAGTAAGCCTAGCCTACCCAAGCAATACACTGAGTAAGACTTGTACAGTGAGCTTAGCCTAATCTAGCAACATAGTAAATAAGACACAGATAGTATCCTAGCAATACGCGATTAAGTTAGACATTCAGACTGAGCCTAGCCTACTATAGCAGTACAGCGAGTTAATTAGACACCCAGATGGTGAGCCTAGCATACTGTAGCAATGCAGAGGTTATGTAAGATTTCCAGATAGCTTAACCTAGCAATAGAGCAAGTGACTAAGACGCTCATTTAGCTATCCTTGCTCATCATAATGATACAATGAGTAGGGTATGAAACCAAAACGGCAGCCTGACCTACCCTATCAACACATGCAGTAAGTTAGACACCCAGGAGGCTAGCCTAGCCTGCCCTAGCAATACAGTGAGTAAATTAGACACACAGATAGCCTTGTATACCCTAGCAACAAAATGAGTAAATTAAACACCCATATAAAGAACCCAGCATAAATTTGCAGTACAGAGTGTGAGACACCAAGATGTTGAGCCGTGACTAGCCTAACAATATGGCTAGTAAGTTAGACACCAAGAGAGTAAACATAGCCTAGCTTATTAATTCAGTGAGTAAGATACCCATATAGTGAGCCTAACCTACCACAGTGATACATTGAGTAAGTGGGACACTCAGACAGCAAGCTTAGCCTAACCTTTCATCACAGTGTGTAAGTTCAACACCAAGATAGCCTGTTGAACAGCGAGTAAGTATGACACCGAGATAGTGAGCCTAGCCTACCCTGACAGCAAATAGACCCAGATACCCAGCCTAGGAATACAGCAAGTAGGATAGACACCCTGATATAAAGCCTAGCCCAGCCTATCAATACACTGAGTAAATTATACAGCCAGAGAGCCTAGCATAGCCAAGTAATACAGTACATGAGACACCCCTAGATAACAAACACAGCCTACCCTATCAATAGAGTGAGTAAATTATACAGCCAGAGATCCTAGCATAGCCAAGTAATACAGTACATGAGACACCCCCATATAAAATATATATCCTACCCTAGCAATACACTGAGTAAATTATACAGCCAGAGAGCCTAGCACAGCCAAATAATACAGTACATGAGACACCCCCACATAAGAAATATAGCCTATCCTATCAAAAGAGTGAGTAAATTATACAGCCAGAGAGCCTAACATAGCCAAGTAATACAGTACATGAGACACCCCCATGTAACAAACATAGCCTACCCTAGCAATATAGCTTATAAGTTAGACACCCAGATAGCCTGCCCAGCCTACCTATACATGAAGTAAATAAGACATCCAGATGGCCAGCCAAGCTTACCTTAGGAGTGCAGCAGATAAATTAAGACACTAAGATAGCTATTGTAACCTGCCATAGCAACACTGTGAGTTAGATAGCTAGCCTAGCCAAGCCTAGCAATGCAGCTAGTAAGTTAGACACCCAGATAACCAGCCTGGCATATCCTAGGATTACACTGAGCAACATTATACCCTAGCCTAGCAGCTCAGGCATTATACACATTTTCTTTTTTGCCGGATAGCCAAAGAGCAGCCTAAGCTACCCATCCAGCCAAAGAATTCCAGTCTGGTCTCATCATTCTTGTTTGCAGGCTAATATTTGAAGGTAAAACGTTTCAAATCCATGTTAGGTGGGTCCCTGTCACCACGGCATGGCACGTCCTCAGGTTGCGGATGGAGGAGACGCCCTCCAGTTTTGGAGGGAAGCTGTTAATATATTGAATAAGCAGTCGCGGACAGCCGACAAGGGGTGCCCCTCCAGCTTGGGGGTTGGGCGTGGGGCTAACAACTCCTCACCATAACAAATCATTATGTTACGAAAATGAACACAAAGCCTCGGACCTGGACTGATTCCTTGCATAAATGACCGAAGCTAATGAAAGTGGATATTAGATTTGGCACTTGGAATGTACGAAGTTTGTATAGGGCAGGTTTGCTCAGGGCAGTGGCAGAAGAAATCTTAAAATATAAGTTAGATTTAGCGGGAGTACAGGAGGTCAGATGAGATGGAGGTGGCATCGCACCAGCAGGCGAATATACATTTTTCTATGGAAAGGGGAATGAAAATCTTGAATTAGGTACAGGTTTTTTTTCGTACATAAGAGAATCATATCAGCAGTTAAGAGGGTAGAGTTCGTTAGTGATAGGATATCATATAATAATAAAAGGTCGCTGGTGTGATATCATTGTTATGAATGTTCATGCCTCAACAGAAGATAAAATTGATGACATAAAGGATAGATTCTATGAAGAACTAGAACATGTATTTGATAAATTCCAAAAGTACCCTATGAAAATTTTGTTAGGAGATTTCAATGCCAAAGTAGGGAAGGAAGACATTTTCAAACCAACAATTGGGAATGAAAGTTTGCATGAAATTAGTAATGATAATGGAGTTAGCGTAGTAAACTTTGCCACATCAAAAAATCTTACTGTCAAAAGTACAATGTTCCCACATTGTAACATCCATAAATTTACTTGGACATCGCCTGATGGGAAGATACACAATCAAATAGACCATATTTTGATAGAAAGGAGACAGCACTCAAGTATACTTGATGTCCGATCATTCAGGGCAGCAGATTGTGATACTGACCACTACCTGGTAGTGGCAAAGGTTAGGGAAAGACTGGCAGTGAGCAAACAAACAACACACAAAGTTCATATGGAGAAGTTCAATCTCAAGAAATTAAATGAGGTAGAGGGTAAAGAGCAGTATTGTGTTGAAATCTCAAATAGGTTCGCGGCTTTGGAAAACTTGGACACTGAGGTGGATGTTAATAAAACTTGGGAAACTATCAGAGAGAATATAAAACTGTCTACCAAAGAGAGTCTAGGTTATTATGCACCGAAAAACCATAAGCCAGGGTTCGACGAAGGATGCTCCAAATTATCAGATCAAAGAAAGCAGGCCAAATTGCAATGGTTACAGGATCAAAGCGAGTTAAATGGGGATAATCTGAACAATATAAGACATGAGGTCAGCAGGCATTTCAGGAACAAAAAGAGGGAATATCTGAAAGACAAAATTGATGAGCTTGCAACGAACAGTAAGAACAAGAACATTAGAGACCTGTATAGAGGAATAAATGACTTTAACAATGGTTACCAGCCTAGCAGTAACTTAGTGAAGGATGAGAATGGTGATCTGCTTGCAGATTCCCACAACATTTTGAATAGGTGGAGGAACTACTTCTCTCAGTTAATGAATGTACATAGGGTCAGTGATGTTAGGCAGACAGAAATCGATACAGCTGATCTGGTAATACCTGATCCTAGAGAGATAGGATGGGATGGTATGGATTGGATAGATCTGGCTCAGGATAGGGACCAGCGGAGGGCTCTTGTGAACACGGTGATGAACCTTCGGGTTCCATGAAATGCTGGGAAATTCTTGAGTAGCTGCAGAATTGGCGGTTCCTCCAGAAGGGCTCAGCTCCATGAGTAAGTAAGTAAAACGTTTCAAATAGCGAAGGGTGCTAGTCATCTCACCATGCTCTCTAGTCCTCCCAATATTCCATGGGCTACACTGCAAGGATTTGGAAGGAAGCTGATGAGGCTTGTTTCAGGGTAACGNGGGGGGGGGGGGGGGGAGCGAGGTATAGCCTCTAATTTATTCCAGTATTGCGTGAGAACGAGACAGATGTGCGAAACACTCAGCTGCAAAGTTCAGTAGTGTGATGGTGAAAGATGAAGCGGAAATAACGTAGAAGAAAGCGGTCGTGGCCTGTTTATGACAACATTCAAACGTTGCGTGGAAATAACGAAGAAAAGAACGTAAATACTCGATGGCAACAGTCTGTCTGAACTCGCGAGATTCGAATACGGGACTTCAAGATTATGAGCTTTGGAATTCGACCATTCAGCAGATACAGTGGATGG